CTCCCACCTCCAGGTTTTTGTATCAATTTGCTGATACCTTTCTTATTTCTCTTATAATATGCTATCATAACTTTGTGATATAGGCTCCCGGAGTGTGCGGTAACCACATTCTCCTTCATCTTCATCTCCAGTGTTTTGCAAAAATCAGCTTTTTAAAAACAATTTTATTTTTTACTCAATCTCTACATCCACGTGGGGCTCGAACTTACAACCCAAAGATCAAGAGTCACATGTTCTACCAACTGAACCAGCCGGGCGCCCCACAAATACTGAGTTTTCAGTGAATGTCTGACAGGGAGTTGATTGCTGTAATGCCTTCCTTCTTGATCCTTGAATTGTGGGGGCCAGCATTAGAAACGTATAGACCTTATTCTAAACACATCTGTATTTAATTCCCAAACCAATTTTGGGAGATGAAATATCTTTTTTAATTTTGGGAGATGAAATATCTTGTTTAATTTCCCTTATCACCCAAATTCCCCTTTTTACCTGGGGCCTACTTGCTTTTTAATTACACTTTCATTTGTCTAATTTAGCCGGAGAGTCCTGTTCTCAACTCGGATCCACAACCAAAGATAGAACTAACACTTCTGGGTGCTCTCGGTCAAAAGATTTCCTGGCAGAACAATTTCTGGCTGTTGCAAATGGAGTGATAGAAAGTTCTGATACGTACCAGCTAAGGGCACGTGGTAGAAATTGTAGATGCCTCTACACGGCCATAAAACAAACTTTGTGTGGTTCTAAATCTTAGGTGTTTCAGCCTTAACAAAAGAATGCAACTGTGTTCAAAGGCTTCAGGACTTTATCTGAAACCCAAATCCATAATCACAAAGGTGATGGGGTGAGTATTTTGGGTATATTTGGCCTGAAAGGGCCAGAATAGCTTGGACATGTATGTGTGTTTTTCTAAAGAATTCTTAAAAAAAAAAATTTTTTTTTAAGATTTTATTTATTCGTTTGAGAGAGCAAGTGAGTGAGAACAGGTGTAGGTGGAGCGGCAGGCAGAGGGAGAGGGAGCAAACTCCCCACTGAGCAAAGAAGCCCAGTGTGGGATTCGATCCTGGGATCCCGGGATCATGACCTGAACTAAAGGCAGATGCTCAACGGATGGAGCCACCCAGGCGCCCCAAGGCGCCCCCAGGATGCACTCATTCCTTCCTAGAGAGAAGTGAGTAGAAACATCTGTGGTGGGACTGCCACCCCCTTCCCCACCAGGGGGAGTTTCACGACTTCTCCTGCCCCAGTGTCTCTACAGGGGTGTGATTTTCTACTTAGAAGCTCAGCTTGGTCTTCCTTCGTTCCCAGTCCACCTTCCCCTCCAGGAGAAAACCTGCTGGGCCACTCTCTGTGACCTCCTCTGCCGGGGTCCGATGTGGGGCCTCATGCCGAGGTGTTCCTCCAGTGACAGTGACCGGGTGCAGCTCTTCCCTGTGATTGCTGCGCCCATTTGAACCACCCCCTGCTCCCTGAAAGACCCTTCTGGCACATCTGGGCTTCTGTTTTCATCCACACTCTGAATTCTTGGTTTGGGACTCTCCCATGACAATCGAGTTTTCCTCTTATTCTGAATTACCCCTTCTCTCTCCTTGGGGAAGGGAATCTGGCCAGGGGCTGGAACTCTGGGGCAACCCCAGATCTGGATTGCCTAGTCCTCCTAGTAATAGTCACCGGTTTGTCAACCGCGGTCACCTGCCAGAGAACCCCAGGGCTTCTAAACCCTGGGGTCACCATTCATCTGAACTCTCCTCTGGGACGGCCCTTTCCTGGGGCCCTACTCTTCACCAGGCACTAGAAGAATGATCCTCGGAAAGGTTACTTCAGGTCATGTGGCTCCTCCATGCAAAACCTTCCAGTGGCATCAACGTCACATGAAAGTTGAAACACAAGAGGTCTACAACTCTATGAGATCCGTCCCCAGCCCCGGAAGTCCCATCTCTGACAGTCTCAGACAGAGCCAGACTGCGGGTCCCCCAGCACACAGCTCCAACCTTCACCCAGAATCTTGGCATTTGCTAATCCTTTTGCTGAACAAAATCTTGCCCCGTGTTTATAGAAGTCAGTCCTTCACTGCAGGTCAGCTGCTGCTTCTCCATGAGCCCTTCCCTGTTTACTCAGTTTGAAATTTCAAAGCATGCTCCTCAACCTTCCCTTCACCCTCCCTCCCTATATCCCCATTTCTCATTGATTTTCCTCCTGACAGTTAGGAACACCTGACACACTATATATTTTACGAACTTTTAAAAAAGATTTGTTAGAGAGAGAGAGAGAGAGAGAAAACGAGCCATGGGAGGAGGGGGCAGAGAGAGAGGTAGAAGCAGACACTCTGCTGAGCAGGGAGCCTGATTCAGGGTTGGACCCCAGAATCCCAAGACCACGACCTGAGCCAAAGGCAAACATTTAACCAACTGAGCCACCCAGGTGTCTCTTATGAAATTATTTTGTTCATAGTCTGACCCCTCATCTAGAATGTAGTCTCCATAAAGGCTGGGATTGTCATTTTTATCCTCTTCTATTTGAAGATATTTACTGAGTAGGTATCTAATATGTATTTGCTTAATGAATGAATGAACGAGGGTTTATTTTTTGATGTGATAAAATGTTCTAAAATTGTGCTGATACCTGGCATGGATAATAAGGTTGTTGAAGAGAAAGAGAGAGAGAGAACAGTATCCTAGGCATTGCAATGAAGGCGTTGGCTGTGCACGTCCTGTATGAGTCGATATGAGGTCATTATGATAAGCTTGGCCTGAGATCTGAATTACCAGAGCTATCTGCACAATGGTTAGAAAGCAGGGCCTCTAGAGTCAGGGGACCAAGGTTCAAATCCCAACTTCATCCCTTTCTAGTTGTGAATGGCTCTGTTTTTGTTTTTGTGTTTTTGTTTTTGTTTTAATTGCAAAAGATGCTGACAGTAATATTCCATGGGTGGTTGACAATAAACTCCAGGGGTGGTTGTTGTCAGGATTAAAATGGACAATTTCTGTAAATGGTTAACACAGGCAGGGCCCCTATGGTGAATGCGCAATACACGGTTATTATTTTAATTTTTATCATTGTTGTTACTTTCTGGAGTACTAGGGATGAGGTACTGGAGTAAATCAGGTGGCCATTATTTCTCACTAAGATTTACTTTGACTTTCTCTGGCCTGTCAGGCGATCCCTTCCTTACACTGAACCTGACCCCTGACCTACCATTCCTTCATGGCTCAGAGCTTATTTCAGAAGTTCACAGACAAGGAACCCCCCCCACTTTTAATTTTTATCATTGTTGTTACTTTCTGGAGTACTAGGGATGAGGTACTGGAGTAAATCAGGTGGCCATTATTTCTCACTAAGATTTACTTTGACTTTCTTTGGCCTGTCAGGCGATCCCTTCCTTACACTGAACCTGACCCCTGACCTACCATTCCTTCATGGCTCAGAGCTTATTTCAGAAGTTCACAGACAAGGAACCCCCCCCCCCCCCGCCCCAAATCAGGAGGAACTTGTTAAAAATAAATCCTCAAGCCAGACACCTAGGAATCAGGCAGTGGTCCTCAAAGTGTGGTCCAGGAACCCAAAACATCTGTCACCAGCTCTTCAAGAGGCCTGATGAGCTAGAAATTTGGGGCAAGGACCATCCATCTGTGTTTTAACAAGCCTTCCAAGTGATTCCGATGCATGCGAAGTTGAGACTAACTGGCCAAGTGGAATCCGATAGTTGATACGCTCTTCACCTGACTTTGACCTGCTTGTTTGCATATTATCACTGGACAACCAGACTAGGTCAACAGCAGGATACTGAATCACCTAACTCCATCCACCTAACTCCAAAGCAGAACCATACAAACTCATACAAACTCTGGCTACATGCTTTTCATTTCTATTAACTTATTCATTGGTGTTGTTCGGGGCACAAGCTTGTTTTTAAGGCTACTTGATCATTTGATTCACTTAATCTGTCACCAAATATTTGTCACAACCGTACTATGTGTCAAGGCATCAACAACAGTGGAGAGAATGTCACAACCTTTGAGAAAACATTCTGGAGGACAAAACTGACCACTAAGAGGGACTATGGCATTTCCTTCCACAGGGGGGGTGGGAGGGATGGGTGGGAGGGGGGTTGGCGCACAGTGATTGGGTAGACAACATCCCACACTGGTCCTGTAGATCCTTTCCTCTACTCTCCTCAATGTAGGAGACTGGGCTGTATTGTTTAATGCCTATTAGGCCTGCTGACACCAAAAATAGCGAACATTTATTAGTAGCATGTTCTTAATTTTCTTGAACCAAAATAAGCATTTTTTAAAATTCCTTGTGGGAGTTCAAAGATTCTCCCTCCCCAAAACTATAACCCCAAAATAAGTTAGTGAAAAATAAAAACAGCAAAATAGCATCATCAGGGATCAGAGGGGAGCTTGGTGAAGATGCTGGGGGCAGTGGAGCTTGTAAAATATTAGTGTGGGGGACACAAGGTACCCTTATGCGGTTTCAAATTCTAAGAAATTATTTCATTGTTTTATAAAGCCCAAGGACTGGGTTTTGATTGTGCTTTCAAGTGAAGAACGCATTAAATCATGTCACACTACAGATCTGAGAAATGCATCTTACCTCGCTCTATAACCTGACATCAAGGTAAGATTATTGGCTAAGGAAGCCAAAGGAAGGTGCCAGCCAGACCTGCCACTGTCTCTCTTTATTTATTTATTTATTTATTTTTAAGATTTTACTTATTTATTTGAGAGAGAGTGAGTGAGGGAGAGAGAGAACACGAGCACTGGGGGGAGGAGGTATAGGGAGACAGGGACAAGCAGACTCCCCGCTGAGCAGGGAGCCCAACACGGGGCTCAATCTTGGGTCTCCTGGATCATGACCTGAGCTGAAGGCAGCCACCCAACTAACTGAACCACCCAGGAGCCCCCGCTGTCTCTCTTTAAAGTTATCCAAGAACATCAACAGCTTTCTATAGAAAAGAGTGTTCCCAGCTATACAAACACAATTGTGTTTCTTGGGCTTACCAGTTTAATATGTTCTCGCTTCTGATATTTTTCACTATAATACTGCTCTTGTCGAAGATTAAGCAGCTGTTGCTGTTGTTTGTCTTTCAAGTCTATTAACTTTTGGGTCATTTCAGCATCTAGGGCAGCAAGATCTTGTTCAATCGTTGATGAACCATGGTCAGGACTGCTGGGATCTGATCTGCAAGAGGCACAGATCTTGAGTCACAAACCATGCAGGGCATAACAAGGCGAAGGGAAGGCTGTACATCACAGTTCCTCCTAGACAGAGGATGTGTTGGGAAATAAATGTTTTAATAAACCACTTGAGATAGAGGTTGATACCCCAAGGACAAGCTTACCAGTGGAGGGTCTCCAAACACAGAGAGTGGATGACACTGGGAGATTTCATGTTGGGGCTGAGAAGGAAAACCAGGAGGCTGGGGACCCTGTGGTAGTGGTGGAGAGAATGATAATCCACCCTACCTTGGGAAAAACAATCCCTAATAAGGATCTTTTAAGGCTTTTATCTTTTATTTATTTTTTTTTTAACAAGACATGTGTAATGTGATTCTCAGCTACTTATGTCCTGTAACGACTTCACTACACTCAACATTGATTGGAGTCTGTCAGGGGAGTTGAAGAGCAGCTGAATTGTGCATCCGGGTGATATGGATAGAAAAGAGAGAGCACGCGCAGACCCTGCCTGCTGGCAAACCCTCCCCCTGGCTGACGTTCTGTTTCTTGACATCTTTTAAAGAAAAGATACATTATCAAATAAGTTTCTTTGGGGGGGGATATACCAACTTCATGGATAGCTCTACCCAAAATGGCGCTTCCCTCCAAACGCTTAGGTTACAAGAGAAAGGAGGATGCATGAGTTCATTGAAAAATATTTATTGTGTGCTTACACTGTGCAGGGTGACTTTGAGTTGTTCATAGCCAGAGAATTACACAAATATTGAGAAGATTAGGAGCCATGTGGAAATAAATCATGGCAATTCTCACTAACTTATTGTGCTAAAACATAGGGTGTGATCCCTTAAAATTTATGGTCTTACTTTTTGTAGGACACACGGAAATGGACAATATTATCATTTATTACTCTGAGGTATTTTCGGGATTTTAATGTGTATCAAAGGTGATGGGAGAGAGACGGACATAATTAGACCTCAATGCTTTGACTCTTAAAGAGAAGTTTCTTTTGATGTATCTTAGGGATTTTTCTTAATTTTTTTAAGAAAAGTATAAAAAATAACCAAGGGAACAGTGTTTCTACATCTTCTGTAAAAACAGCGTTGCAGACATTATCCCCTGTTGCCTACTATTGCCTGTATAAGATCCATGAGATGAATTCTTCTGTAATTTAATACCAGGAAAATGTTTGTCTCTCTTAGAAAAAGAAGCAAGTTTGCTTTAATCAGATAAGGAGAATTATCTAACCCCTACTCCCTTTTCTCAGAGACTAAGAGCTAAAATTCAGCATTTCAAGGTCAGAAATGACATTAAATGGTTGATACTGTCAAGTAGAAATACAGCATGGGCCACGTATTTGATTTTTCCCACATACGTGATTTAGAATTTTTAGTGGCTAACTTGAAAAGTAAAAGGAAATGAGTGAAATTAATTTTAATAACATATTTTGTACAGCCTCGTACACCTAAAATACTATCGTCTCAACATGTAATTAAAATAAAATCAACATAAGTCAATATAAAAATATGAGCTCTTTTATATATATATGTTTTTTTTTAAATGGAGTCTTTAAAATTTGATATGTATTTTAGACTTAAACAGCACATTTCCATTTCCATGAGCCACTTCTCAAGGGCTCGAAAGCCACAAGTGGCTAGTGACTGCCATACTGGACAGTGGGTCTGGATAACTGGTAGCCACTCAGACTGTGTGTATGTGTGTTGCTTCTCTTTTTCTATTTTCATAGGATTTTTACATATGTCTTCTATGATGAGTTACTTCCATACTCTATTAGAAGTGTTCAGGATATGACCTCCAAGTACACAAATGTGCAAATAAACAAAGGACCCCATATATACATCCCTACAACAGAAATTTAGGAGAAGTTTTAGGACAATTTTGCTGGAACCGTTTGTGTAACTGTAATTGTGTAATGTGTAAATGTCTTGGGCTTTTTGGCTTTCTCCTTGAAGAAGTAGGAGCAGTTCACCTCGATGGCTTCTCAGACTATTCTAGTTCTAAGAAATGGTGATGTTGTTGCTTTTTAAAACCCAAGTATTGGGCTTTGATTGTATCTTTAAGTTAAGCACATATTCAATCATACATCATATGTATGGATCTGAAATTGCCTCTTGCATCTGTCTCTAACCTGGCATCAAGATAAGATTATTCCTTAAGGAAGTGAAAGAAAGGATGGCGTAGAGCCTATTTGACTCAGCTCAATGGCAGGTGGCTCTCAGGATCACATAGTTCCCTGCTTTGCCATGCTAGCTCCTCATGGGTGATAACTGCATAAGTCATGGTCACTGCTGTGTCCCCAGGGCACACAGTAGGCACTCAACAAACGTGGGTTGAATGAATATGTGAGGGATGCTTCTCCCTGTCAAGGTCTGGATACATAGGGCTATGGGGATCCCTAGACCCAAACAAGGGCTACTTGTAGAAGGCTTTGAGGGTTTCAGCAAAGGCAGCAAAGGATAGTTGAGACTTCTCTTTTCTACAGCTCAACTAGGTTCTAGAACATGGCAAAATTGCATACCTGCCAGTTTGGCAGCTGTAACATGGGAAGTCAGCCCACTGGTATTGGGCCCACAGGCCTGAACCCGAGGATAGGACTTCCTGCATATCTGTTCTTAGGAGGTGGGCAAATAAAGAAATTTAGTCCACAAGCAAAACTGAGCTGAGGTGGCCTTCCTTCTTGCCCCATATCCAAAATATGGTCTAAAAATATCGAAAATCCATGTGAAGAACTCTTTTCCTTCATACTATGAAACAACTCAGAAATACTCACTCCACTTACTTTTTCTTACTATCCTTTTTGGCTGTCTTTTCCAAAGCTGCCCTCCTTCTCAAGTAGTCGTTCTGAATCTCATTATATTTTGTAGTGTGTTCTTTGATAAGATCAGTGGTTTTCTTGTGGTGTCTTTTAACCAGGTCTTTCATTTCTTTGTAGTGCTTCTTTTGAAGTTTCACAAAGGATTTCTGCTGCTTTAGCTCTTCGATGGTCTGGGCTTCCACTTCTGCAACAAATGAGTATAAAAGCTAACAGACGTGGACGGACAGCAAACCCAGATGTCAGGAGGAGTCGCAACCTGCTTCCCGGGCAATACTGGTTTGATCCCAGCCCACTGGAGCTTCCAAGCAATGCCTGGATGTCAAATGCATCTGGGTTCCAGTCTGGCTCTCGAACTTGCTAACTTCAGAAGTTCCATCACCGAAGCTCTCAAAGACCGAATTTCTTCACTCATAATTTTTTGGGGAAGTTTGGCTTCCCCAGAAACAAAGCCTGAGAGGGGGGATCTGGTGTATGTGATTTACTTGAGAGAGGCTCAGAGGGAAGAGGGGAGCGCAGCAGATGGGGGGAAGGGGAAGGAGGTGAGCAATGGTGTGGTCTCAGCAGGAGCCTGACTTCTGCCTGGGTCTCACCTTGAGGTAAGAATGCTAGCCTTTTGCAAATTGAGAAAATCAGGCAGGGAAGGTATAACCTCCTGGTGAGGAATCTTCTTTTGGGCTGAGGGCAATTGCCAAGAGAAGGGGAAGCTGTGAGCTGTTCCAGCACCACAGCTGGAGCATGGGAAAGGGATGGGCACCAACAGGATCCACTTTAAGGACCTCAATAATCCCACTACCTGTTAGGGCTTTGTGATGATGAAATGAAAGACTCATGCGAAGTATTGAACACAGTTTCTGGCAACGAGCTTGTCGAGGCTTAACAAATCACACATAACAGCACCGTCTCCAAGGGGCACTCTTCACAGCCCAGACCCTGTAAGTTTGGATTTATCACAACAGTGTTCCAGGATAAAGACCTGAAGCAAGGGAGGGTCCCTTGATGGCATTTGCCCAAAGGAACCATCAGGGTTCGTGGTAGCATACCTTATTCCTACGTGGTATTTTAACCAGTGCTTTGAACACATGTAATGTGACAGAGCTCGACCTGAAATCATTCTGTGTTTTACTGACAAATGTCATCAATTCTAGAATATGCATTTTAAAGTACGTGACCATTTCTAAAATTCAGATACTTTGTACAATCACAACTTGTTGGTGCTTTTCTTTCTTAGCAATCCATGAAGAGTGCGTTGCCTTCAAACTGACAGTGTCTTAACTTCAATGAATTATCATTTGTCTGGACCTAAATTAAGTACACAGTTCCCTTGTTTCCATCCTTTCATTTGAACTTCCTGCTTCTGGGAACAAAAATACGGTATCATAAATATTTAGATCTGTCCTGAGATTCAGAAATAATATATACCATGAACACTGACAGACCTGAAGAGAAATGAGCTATCTGGTGGATAAACACTGAAATCAGAATAATAATTTACATGCTTCAGTGCTAAGGTCGTTAAGCAGTTGAAACATGGTTCCCCTTTTTTATAATGTGTCTATTCTCCTGACATTTGATTCCTTTTGAGAAAGAGGCCAGGAAGAGAATCAGGTACATTTATCTAATGGTTTCCCTCAGGCCCAAATGGACTCATTATGGTTGCATAATAACTTATTATGCTAAGAATTTATAATCCTAAGGAATTGCTACATTTTGGGTAACAGATCCAATCCCACTTCATTAAATGGTATAGAGCACCCAGCAACAGCAAGTTCAGCAAGAGGGTTCAAGATGTTCCAGCCTACAATTAAAAAAAAAATTCCACAGAAAGTACTCTTTTCTTCTAAAGTCTGTGGATTAAAGGCTATTCTTTGAATAGGGTCTTAAGCATAACGGGAATGTTCATTTACATAAAGTAATAAGTATCACTGGCAAACAAGCCACCCAGAAGTGTTAATAACAGTACACATCCACTGCCTTTTGTCTACATATTTATGTATTTTAAAATAACCCTGGAATCATGCTGTATTTACACTTCTGTTTCTTATTTTATGTGTTAACAATATACTGTTGCCCATGGGATTGAATCTTTAAGAACATGTTTTAATGCATTCCTCAAGTAATTATTCGATGCAGATTTTACATATTGGTGAAATATACACACATAAAAGCACATAAATCATAAATCCACCCCTTACACGTTTTCCCAGAGTGGGCAGGCTTTCCTAACCACCTCTCAGATCAAGATCAGAACATTATCAGTATCCTGGAGATCCTCTTTTTGGGGTTTGCATCCCCTGTCCCCTCCCAAGTATCATCTGAATCCGTGTTTCTAACGGACAAATTCGTTTTGTCTGTTTTTAGCTGTATACAGCTGGGATTACAAAGAATGTGCTCTCTCATCGGGCCTCTTTCCCTCTGCATTGTGCATGTGAATTTTATCCATGTTGTGTACGATCATAGTTTATTTATCCCTCCAGCTATATCATATTTTACTCTATGACTATACCACAATTTATTTATCTACACTACTGTTTATGGACTTCTGGGTTGTTTATAGTTTTTGGCTGTTACCAAAAGCACTGCTTTTTGGTCAACATGTGTTTGCATTATTTCTGTGTATTGGGCCAAATACTACAAACGTTTCGAAGATGCTGCTACATGCTGCTCATTGTAGTAAAGAAATCAGGTACCAATTTTAGTTCCACTAGTTTAAGGTACTAACGAAATAGAAATTATTTTCTGATGGGATCTCAGTTCCTAAACACTCCGTATTCGGTGGGCCCAAATGGCTCACATTCTGCATTTCTAAAATACACCTTATTATTGGCACATTGGGAGGGCGTGTGTTCCCGTTCTCTGGGTCATATTTCCAGTATGTAACTATCCTTTGATTTTAATATCAATATCTTATGAAATTATATTATTTCTATACCCACAGAGTCCTATCTGCCAAATATGGTTACTTCTCTATGATGACATGATGACATTGTATAATGTGATTTGAACTCAGACTGTATATCTGTGGGTATTTTCAGAGAAGAAATATTAATTATGTTATTTTTCAGAGGTGAGGGGACATCCTCTCTTGCTAAATACTTATGCTGTATAATATTCAACTGCCTAATTCCTTGGGGAAGAGGGCAGCATTTACCTGTTAGGACACTCTGAATAAGGTCTTCTGTTTTCACAGGTGCCTTTACAGAACCTGAAATAAAGAGACAAAAGAAATAGCCTACTTTAACTTTAAAAAGTGTATTCTTCCTGTAAAACAACTAAGTTTGGCCCTTGAGTCCAAGTCTCTTTATGGAGAAATAAGAAATTGTAGGAGAAAATTACTTGCAAAAAAAACACCCCAAAACAAGCAAACAAACAAAAAACCTTGGAAGCAATGTCTTCGTTTTGTTACTTAGACGCAAACCTAATTAAATGCAAGTCTATATGCTCCATTTATAGACAGAAAGGGCATCCCTCCACTTTGAGTGGAAAGTATCGTCGACAAATTCCATTTAAGCAATGCTACTGCCACCTTTTGGCAAGATCAGGAATGGCAAGTGGTCTTTTAAAAAAAATGAAACGTGGACCAGCACTCAGTAGTAATTGAGGCAGGCAAGATCCACTCTTGGACACCAAAATGATCAGATACATTGAAGGAGAAAAAGGATATTTTATAGTCTCAAGGTATCTCCCCCAAGATAACTATTATCTATAAAGGGGTATGAGAACTTTCAGTTTAAAAACCTGGCTGACTCCACCTTAACCAAGTGATCGGAACATGGCGGATGATGAGAAATGCTGACATCAGTTACCCCTAAAATGATGTAGTGAGAAGGACAGCATTGTCTCTGCAATATTCGTGCCCAAAATGCAAAACTTCACTCTAATCATGAGAAAACATCAGACAAGCCCAAACTGAGCGATACTGCACAAAAGAACTGACCAGTACTCTTCAAAAGTGTCAAGGTCATGAAAGACAGGACAGTCATACATTCAAGAAGACCAAGGAGACATGACAGTTAAATACAATGTGGGATCTTGGGTTGGAACCTGGAACAATAAAAAGACACCAGTAGAGGGATGCCTGGGTGGCTCCCTCTAAGTGTCAGACTCTTAATCTCAGCTCAGTTCTTGATCTCAGGGTCATGAGTTCAAGCCCCACATTGAGCTCCATGCTGGGTGTGGAGCCTACTTAAAAAATAAAAAAAGACATTAGTAGAAAGCAGGTGAAGTTCAAATGAGGTCTGTAGTTCAGCTCCAAGTACTGTGCCAAGGTTAATTTCCAGGTCTGATAACTGTACCATGATTCTGACAGATGTTAACACCAGGGAAGAAGAGATCAGTTTTACAATTCTGTGCCTTTTTAAAAAAGGCTTCTGTAAGTCAAATTATTTCAAAATATCAAGTTAAAAAAAATCAAGTGCTAAAATGCCAAATTTTCTTTTTACTCTTCAAAGCACAAGACTATATTTACTCACGTATTTAAATGACTTATTTATATTCCAGAAGTACTCAAAATGTTTGTATTTGGAATATGAAAATCTTAGTTGAAAATATCACTCCCGATGATCGAATCGTCTTCTTAGCATTATTGATCTCAACAACCTTCTTAAAAGCACAGGCCCCAGTTCATGCACATTTGATACAAATTCAAATGTGATTTGTTCTTTTTTAAAATCTCACTCTCTCCCATGAGAAATGCCCTTTCCCTTCCAAATAAAAGATCTGTATTTCATCACTGCCATACTATAGTTAGATGAGGAAGGAAGGAGACAGGAAGCCATACCTTCATGGAAGGAAATTCTTCTGCCTTTTATTTACCCTATATTAACCCACTGGACAAAAAGTGATCAAGTATATGCTATTCCTCAGGTCTGTGCAAAGGAAGCATCAAACTGAAGCCTGCCCTGGGGAACCTGCCATCCACTGGGGAAAGAGGACATACAAAGGAGAGAGAATTGCCTAAAGCAGTCTTAGATTAAAGGTCAATATTAGCTACACAGAAATCAAAGGTTTTTTCTAAGTGAGGCATGAGTGGACCTTTGGTAAGAATAGAGCTGAAAGCAAGAACTGGGATCACAGGGAACAGTGTCCATCCTGACTTCCCTCTTCACTAGCTATGTGGCTTTCAGGAAGTACTTCTCCACCTCAAAACCAATTTCTTCATCTGCCCATTGGGGACAATGACAGAAGCTACACTCAGCCCTGGTATGAGGGTGAAATGAGTCAATCCACTTGAAGGGCTGAATGGAGTGCTCAGCACATGGTAGACACCCAAAGTCATTGAAAAGTAAGTTGGAGAAAGATGGAAAGGAATTCTTGGCAGAGACTTAATGAGCGAGGTAGAGCTAAGAAGATGCTTGTCAAGCATAGCTGTTCGTAAGTTGCATGAATAATCCTTCATAAGCCTGTGAGCACGTAGATTATTGTATCACTAAACAGACATGGGGATCTGGGCGATGGTTCATGGTAGCTTCATAAGTTATCATCAGAACCAGATCACTAATGAATCTCTCTTGGCATTCATTCATTCATTCATTCATGCATTCATTCCACACTTCTGGAGCTCCTCCTACGTCCTTGCATCTTTGCTCATGCTATCTCCTTGAGTGGCACAAATAAACTGGAGGCTCTTAGTCATGTTGTCTAGCTCCCTTTTCAGAGTGTTTACCTGGAGCCGGTTGGCTGTGGAGAGCCTGGGATGGTGGTTTGGGTGCCAAGGATGTAGTGTGATTCACTCCGTTTTCTGCTGGAGTTGTCCTGGCTTCACTTGGAGCTTCTGATGGTGTTTCCCCAGGATCAGCCTATAATCATAAATATCCTTTCATTTTCCATATTTTTTTACCGTTCTTTTATAACCTTCCTAAGCCAACAAGCCTACATTTGATTTAGCATTTTCACAACACATTTGGGGTCTGAAATATCAAAATGAAACTGTCTGGAAAGCAGGGTAGAAACAGCACAGTGTTGAGTCATGACTATAGTGGGTTGATTATATCAAAAAGCCTTGATCTGTACACCTTTCAATGTCCATGCCCTTTTGTAGTGCCCTCCCACACTGACTCTGGACATGACCATGTGATTTGCCTTGGTCAAATGAGACAGTACCAAATTTGCTGCAAGCAGAAGATTGAAAAGGCACTTGTGAATGTTCCGTCTCTTTCTCAGACCCCTGCTACAGCCGTGGAGGACCAGACACAATGTGGAGGAGAGCCGGGTCATCTAGGTAAGGATCTCATAGCCCAGCCAGCCCCAGCTGACCACAAACACATGAGGGAGTCCAGCTAAGATGAGCTGAGCCTAGTCCAAATCAGCATAACTGCCCAGCTAACCAAATGACTCATGAAAAAAAGTCAGTCATTGTTGATGTTGTAAGCCATTGAATTTGGGAGTTGTTTGCTATGCAGCAGTAGCTAACTGGTACAGTAGTTACAAGCACAGATTTTGGAGTCAAACTTACCTGGGTTCAAAATCTGGCCTTGCCATTTATTTATTTTTTTTTTTAAGATTTATTTATTTATTTATTTATATAAGGGAGGGGGATCATGATCAGGAGGGGCAGAGGGACAGGGAGAAAAAATTTCAAGCAGACTCTCTGCTGAGTACAGAGCTCGATGCGGGGCTCAATCTCACAACCATGATATCATGACCTGACCTGAAACCAAGAGTCAGATGTCCAAGGGCCTGCACCACCCAGGCACCCCTGGCCTTGCCACTTGTTAGCAGTGTAGTGTTGGGCAAGTCACTTAACTCTCTGCCTCAATGTCCTCATCTTTATATATAAAGATGAGTCTATACTGGGTGTCATAATATTATGTACACTGTAAGGTTGTTTAAAGGATCAAGTAAGTTAACAGTTATAAAGTGCTTAGAATAGTTCCTGGCACAGAGTGAGTAGGTGGGTCTAAAATAAATAAAGTCTGGGGCGCCTGGGTGGCTCAGTGGGTTAAAGCCTCTACCTTTGGTTCAGGTCATGATCCTGGGGTCCTGGGATCGAGCCCCACATCGGGCTCTCTGCTCGGCAGGGATCCTGCTTCCCTTCCTCTCTCTCTGCCTGCCTCTCTGCCTACATGTGATCTCTGTCTATCAAATAAATAAATAAAATCTTTAAAAAAATAAAATAAAGTTTTTAAGTTTGCATAATACTACCCATGAATAATAATAATAAATGTGCCAGAATTTATGAAATCTCCACTCCATTCTTCCCAGGAGCTAGTCCACTATGTCCTATGTAGAATAAACATTTAGTGCATGTTTGCTGAATAAGCATTGTTTTTCTAAAATAATTGCCTCAGTAGTCATCACATACCCTTGCAATGGTGCATTTCAATTCTGAAATGCCCTTCAACTCTTTTTTTAGACTTGCCATCCAGGTTACTGGATGGTTGACAATGGCTGTTCCAACGTTCTACTTGGTAGTAAATTAAAAAAATATATATAATATAACATAATAACAATATTATGAAATAGCCAGAAATCATTTGGAACCCAACATTCTGATATGGTGTCATGAGATTACAGATAGCAGAAGGTCATATGAAAATACTTTTATAAAATGTAAGATGAAAATGATTGTCACAAGTGGCTTTTACTCTGTCCCCCAAAAGCATCATTAAAGCACGAGTTCTGAAACTGCTTCCAGTGATGGCAGAACTCATTTCAATTCAACAAATCACCCCTACTTATCTACCATGGCCTGCTGGTGGCCAGTGGTATTGAAATGGAAGCGACGATCCCTGGGACCCATGGCTGGGAATGAAGTTGGGGAGGCAGGAACCTAAAGGAGGAAATTAGCCAGCTTACACAACTCACCGTGGTAGAACTCTGCCTTTGGGGAGGGAAAAAAAAAAAAGAAAGGCTTCTTTGGATGGGTAAGTCCTACTCTGGTTGCATTATTAAGTTACATCCATCAGGTAAATTCTTCCTAGAAGCATTATGCTCAAGGGAAGGATTGCATATTTTTTGTTCACCAAGAAATTGCAAAGTGGGGCGCCTGGCTGGCTCAGTCGGAGGAGCATGCAACTCTTGATCTCCAGTTTTGAGTCTGAGCCACACATTGGGCATAGAGATGACTTTAATAAATAAAACCCTAAAAAAAATTGCAGACTGGAGGCATAGGGTCCAAACAGTGTGCATGGGAATGTTTTCTTTGGCTCCCCCAAGGTTGCCAAAGATTTTAATGAAGGAGATTTTATGTTAATAAAATGAATTTCTTGCTTTTCTTGAAAAATCAGATCGGCAATGTTGAGCCTGCATTCCCCATGTTGGGCTAGAAGGGAATGGATTCTGTCCCTTTTAGGAGGTTCCCTCTTCACTCATTTAGGCTTCACCTGTCTCACTCCTGCAGGCATTTGGATTTGTGGAGCACTTGAGAAGACTGGGATATCATAGATGTTTGGCCACAAAATTCATAAAGGAGATGCACGTACATTGCACAGAATGGACTGAAGTAAAGGGAATATAGGAAAGAACCCTGGGATATCAGCAGAGTCATCCACTGGGCCTGGTTATCTGCATGGAATAAGGTAGGAGAAAGCTTCCCAGCCTTCCCAGCCTTCCCAGCCTCCCAGCCTGCGGTCACCAAACTCAGCTGCCTGGGAAATGGGAGGAAGGGGCTCCTGTTCCACAGGCATCTGACCTTTCCCATCTATATCCAGGCAGGTTTCTGGAACCATGTGGGAGATAAATCACATTTTTTCCCCAATGTGGCAGCTGGCTAAAATTAGCCCTCTGAAGAGAGATAGGATAAAAGAAAATTCTGACGGAGGGAAAAAGAGGTGATGGCGAGCCAGCTTTCACAAAGGCAATAGTATGTGGCTTTTTTTGGCAACCAAACTTGGTGTCTTGGGAGTATCAGGCTGGAAATGTGTTCAAAATGAATCCAGCAAGCTTATTTTCGCCTTGTATCTGGTTTTGCAGACATTCTGTGTAGCTGTACGCCCTTGGGAAACCAAGTTCAAGCAACTTGAGTCAAGTGGAAGGAAAAATAAATCTCTGCTTATCAAGGTTATGCAAGACAAAGCCGCAGGTCCTGGAAACGGACATAATGTATCAATTCAGAGAGATTTTTTTAAAAAGCAGGTAAATGTTGAATAAACACACAGGCAACCATATTACAGTTATAACTGAGGATAAAGGGACCACCAAGGTTTGGCACTGGATTGTGAGGTAATCTTTGGAGAAATGCTTCTTTAGTTAACACCCAGATGTGACCCCCCTGGGTCACACACCCAGATGCCTCGGGGAAGGTGGAAGACACGGCAGAACCCCCAGAGGGCGCCATTCACACCATACAGTCTTTTGTTTTCAAAGATTCTATTTTAAGTAATCTCTGCGCCTAGCACTGGGCTTGAACCCTGAGATCAAGAGTTGCACGCCCCACTGACTGAGCCAGCCAGGTGTCTCTCAGAGTATATATGAATAGGCAGTTAATGGGAAGGATGGAAATGAGCAAAGTTGACCAGACTTAATACAACAAGGCAAAGTGGGGCCATGGTCAGAGTTGGAGAGGGAGGTCCTGGAAAGGGGCAGCTGCCACTCAGCTTCAGTCTATTATTGAATAGGCTTCAAGAAAAGCTGGAAAACAAATTGTGTGTGTGTGTGTGTGTGTGTGTGTGTATGTGTGAAATCCCCTAATGTGAAATCATTGAGTCCAAACAAATCACATCTTCAGACCACCTTTGGCCCAGAAGCTGCCCATCTGTACGCCATGCTCTGCAGTTTGTCTATAATTCAAGGACTGTGTCAGGGTGAACAATGCACCCACAGCAATGGTAGAATGAGAGGGGCATGCCGGGAAATGCAGTGGCCCAAATAACCTGCAGCCCAACATGCCCCACCTGCTCGCCCCAGGGGCCGGACAAAGCAGAGAGCAAAGGATGGCCAAAGAGAATGCTAGACTAAGGAATCCAGGGGCTCCTCAACAGTTTTTGTTTCTGACCTTTTTTTTTTTTTTTTTTTTTTGCTTGATACTTGTCAGGTGTCTCTTATGATTATTTATTTATTATATTTATTTACTTATGAAATTTTATTTATTAATTTGGTGAGAATCTATGATGGCAAATATATCAGACTGGTGTTTAAAATACTGTGTTAACCAAAGGCCAGTGAGTACAAACTCTAATTGACCCTTCCCTCATGGAGAGTGCTTATAGAAGCAGCTGTATAGATCAGTGAGTGTGAGATGGTTTAAGACACACCAGCCTTATTGCAGCCAGTGTCAGCTGCCTACTCAACTCCACTGTAAAGCAAAGAAATCTAAGCTATTATTAAAGGTCTTTGGGGTGCCTGGTGGCTCAGTGGGTTAAAGCCTCTGCCTTCGGCTCAGGTCATGATCCGAGGGTCCTGGGATAGAGCCCCGCGTTGGGCTTTCTGCTCTGCGGGGAGCCTGCTTCCTCCCCTCTCTCTCTCTGCCTGCCTCTCTGCCTACTTGTGATCTCTCTCTCTGTGTCAAATAAATAAAATCTTTAAAAAAAAAAAAAAGGTCTTTAGTAGGGGCACCTGGGTGGCTCTGTTGGTTAAGCATCTGCCTTTGGCTCAGGTTATGATCTCAGGGTTCTGGGATCAAGCCCTGCATCAGGCTCCGTGCTCAGTGGGGAGTCTGCTTCTCTCTCCTTCTTTGCTCTCTCTCTCTCAAATAAATAGATAAGTAAATCTTTTTAAAAAAGGTCTTTACTAAAGACTTTATTAAAAGTCATATAACTTGCTAGAGGCCACACAGTTGACAGTTGGATTAATGTCTGAATATGTGTTAAGAGTCTAAAGTCTGAGTTTCACTGCTGTCCTACTTCACTCTGAATTTTAA